GTTGATGATTTTCTTTATTCGGACGCCACTGCTTTTGAATTGGTTACCCCTGATCTAGGCTATTTTCCGCCTCGAGCTTCTTTTCCAAACATACAGCTTTACGATCAACCAGCAGCAGTTCCAAATATATCGCGACCTAATATATCTGATAAAACTGTTTTTGTAAATGTATTCTTTTTCTTTTTAAAGGAAGCATTTCAAATGCCACAATAATCACCTTTAATGAATCGTAATGCCAATTAAGGCCTTAATTTATACCCTGATATCTAAACAATAAAGGGCTTCATTTCCTGTACTCTCTAAAATGACTACATTAAATCTAACAGTGAAAGGGATTTATACGAGAAAATGCCATAAAGATTTAAATGCTGGCAGATTTAAATGATTGATTACGATAATTATATCATTTTTAATTATTATTTTGTGAATTTTATTTACCTCCGTCAACTCTGGAGACTTTATTTCCTTAATCTTAAAGAAATATCCGATGGTCAGGAAGGCGATGGCCACCGCACTCACGCTGATCATAAAAATGACCAGAGGTGGTCGGTTGTTGATGTAGCCTCTTAGGTTCTCTATGGGATTTAACAGGTAAACCTGTATAGAAAAAAAGAGAAACACGTGAACATTTTCCCCCATTATTCATTCCACACATTTTTTATATTTCTGACATTCCATACCAGATCTCATAAGATAATTAACCAGCTAAAGGCTGAGGAGGAAATGTGATCAAACAGGCAGCTTCCAATCAGGAGAGTAAAAGAGGACGATCTTGTCTGAGCAGGAAGTGCAGTTTGGTGTTTTTTTTACAAACAGGCCAGCTTGTTATTGGATGATATCAGCATCTATGATGTCATGGGTTGGATGGTCTCACAATGAACCTTCTAGTTGGAGCCTAAATGAATATTGATTAAAATTAGAAATCTCCTGTCCAGGATTGATGCTGAGAAACTAGTCCATGCATTTGTTACTTCAAGGCTGGACTATTGTAATTCTTTACTATCAGGAAGTCCACAAACTGTAGTTAAAAGCCTTCAGCTGATCCAAAATGCTGCAGCCAGAGTTCTAATGAAAATGAAAAAGAGAGATCTATCTCTCCTATCCTGGCTTCTCTTCATTGGCTTCCTGTTAAATCCAGAATAGAATTTAAAATCCTCCTTCTCACATATAAAGCCTTAAATGGCCAAGCTCCATCTGATATCAGAGATCTGATTGTTCCTTATGTTCCTAACAGAGCACTTCGCTCTCAATCTGCAGGTTTACTAGTGGTTCCTAGAATTTCTAAAAGTAGAATGGGAGGCAGATCTTTTAGTTCTCAGGCTCCTCTCCTGTGGAACCAACTACCAGTTTTAGTCCGTGAGGCAGACACCCTGTCTACTTTTAAGGCTAGGCTTAAAACTTTCCTTTTTGATAAAGCTTCTAGTTAGAGTGGCTCAGGTTATCCTGATCTATCTCTATAGTTCTGCTGCTATAGGCTTAGACTGCTGGAGGACATAGGGACCCCTTTTTCATCATTCTGCTTCATTCTATCTCTATTCTCCCACTCTGCAGAATCTGTTAGTTCAATCTCTAACGTTCTGCTCTCTCTGCTTTTTCTCATAGTAGCTTCATCTGGTCTGTTCCTGTTTGGCTGTGACTCCATCCTGGAGAGAAATATCAGCTGTGCTGCTGCCATCAACACCTTTGTTTCTAGATGTTGGAGATCGGCCTGTTTTTACAGTGTAGTCCTGTTTCTCTAACTGTGACTAACTGGATGTGCTCTCTTCATCCTCTGACATGGGAGCTGGCTCGGAGCTCGTCTGCCTGGCTGTGTGTTTCCTGGACGGGGCCGCCTTTTACAGTTGCCTTTTGTATCTATGCTTCTTTTTCTATGTCTGCTTCTGTCTCCTTGAACCCCAGTGGGCCTCAGCAGATGGCCGCTCACACTGAGCCTGGTTCTGCTGGAGGTTTCTTCCTGTTCAAAGGGAGTTTTTCCTCTCCACTGTCGCTACAAGCATGCTTAGTGTGAGGGATTGCTGAAGAGTCAATGAGTCGATGCAATCAGCTGGTTTTCCTTAGATAGAAAACTTTGAATCAATCTGACTGGATGATCTGGTGAACTGGAGCTATAGAAATAAACTGAATTGATTGTTTAATTAAGTATCAGCCACCTTAATTGTTTCAAACTATCAAATTATATAAAATTCCATAAACATGTGAGGAAATGCAACGCAAAGCATGAAAAAATAAAAGTCCAGGGTACACATACAGAGAATATAGTTCATCAAAAGGGGTACAGGACTCTTTGCAGAAGGAACAAAGCCTTTTCCAAATTTGCCAAAGCAGAAATATCTATCTAAAAAAGTCAGAAATCTGAGATTAAAGTCAGAATTCTGACGTTTATCCCATATTAAACTGAAATAATATTTACAAATCTGTTATTTTTTTTATATTTTTTCTGTGGCCCTAATCCTCTTCCGTACAAATGGGATTCGTTTAGCATTATGCTATATATTTATATTTTTGTTTATTTACACCAGATTACATGTGAAAAATAAAAACAGGCCTGATGGAGTAAAAAAAAAAGGAGGAGCGTAAGGAATTATTTTCTTTTGGTATTTGTTACCTGATTCCCCCCAAATCTTACCAATCCTAAACAAAATCGCCGTAAATGTAAATATAAGAGCAGCACAGAAACGTTAGTAATGTTTAGAGAATAAATAAATAAACAGGAGCCGCAGGTTAAATGACCAAACCGTCCCTGAAAGCACCATGTTCAGCTGGTTTCACCAGGTCTCGGTGGAACTAGCTGTCTGCGTCGATACGAGGTTCAAACTCGGCTATGAAAACATTCTACACGACAAATAAAATCATTCATATCATATTCTTATTACTCACCATTTTTCCTTGTTTTGTCCAAGCGGCTGGAAGCTGTATGTGGATGAGAGGAGCTCTGAGGGCCACAAAAAAACGGCTGCGATGTCGCCTAGCTAGCTACCTGAACGCAGCTAGTCTCCTCTGGATTTCCCACCGCGGAGCGAAAGTCTGCGCTTAAAGCTTCCAGCATACGAGGCAACGCATATTCTCCTTCCCATCCTTCGCCTCCAATAATCCCGCTGCTCTTTAGAGAAACAGATTAATATCATTAGATGTGGAATAACGTCAACATCTTCCTGTCGACATCTGATCCCCTCGTCCTCGCACTGCGTACAGAAAGCGTCGCAGAGCAGAGGAGAAGCGTCGCGTTCTCCTTATTCCCGCACGAGATACGCTTGAAAATGTACGCCTAATTATAAAGGGTGATTTAATGTACGGAATTTACGTAGCGATGACGTTTTTTTTTTGTTTTTTTTTTTGGTCTGTATACAAACGGCTGTAGTTGCGTTTAGTTACCGTGGGAAATTGCGAAACGGGACCCAACCTGACGGCTTTGCGCTTTTAACTGTCCTTTATTTTGAAAATTTCAACAAACGAAAAATGTTGATAAAACTCATAGAAACAAAGGAGAACGCCTGGATCTTTCTGGGAGGTCAGCACAGTGTTAAGCCAGAACCCTAGAGAGAGATTTTCCGTTTTACTAATCTTTACAAATCTAAAAAAACGTTTCTTCAGCCCATAATTAATATACATTACATTATACATTATAATGTACATTATAAAGGAGTGAAGGATATGACAGATGCCTTTGATGTCTCCCAATCTAAAGCACCTAGAAATCAACATCAAAGATAAATAATCAGAAAAAGAAACAGGCAAACATCTGGTTGATAAAAGGGCTGTAAAGGGCTTAACTGCTGTAACAACAGAAAATGTCCTTTAATTTACAAATTAAATGCATGATTATTGCTTCTGACAGTATTATTATTATTACTGATTAATAATTAATCAGTAATAATAATAATGATGATTATAATAATAATAATAACAATCATAATCATAATAATTATTATGATTATGATTGTTATTATTATTATTAATCATTATTATTAATTATTATCAATTATTATTAATAAAAATAATAATTATTATTGATAACCATCATCATTTTTATAATAATAATCCTGATAGATAGATTATATTATCTATCTATTGATAAATATAAACGAGAACTAAATCTTAATTTAGGCAACACACTTTTATTTTGAAAATCCAACGGAAGTACCAGTATTTCTCCGGTATATTTGTTAACTTGACTAGGGTAGCTAGCTACAATGGGTAGAGGAAATAAGACCACTGAGAGTGATGATTTGTTCAGATTATCTTCATCACTAATCAGTTTTCAGAGAAGTCACTCAGACAGCAGAGCAGATATTTTTATTAAAATCCAGCAAAAAATAAACATAATTCAAATGATGGCCATTAAAGTCATATTTTTATGGGTACCTACCAGCACACAGGGGAGTTAAAGTAAATGAAATGGCAGATAAAGCTGCAAAGGAGGCTACAACAAGAGAAGCCATCGAGCTGTCAGTTAAAATTAGTAAGATGGAAGCAAAAGCATCATTAAACAGAGACTGAAGGAAAAGTGGCAAAAACAACGAGAAGAAGAGAGGAAAGGAGGAAAAGATGGTTTCATCTGATTCAGAGGAGAGTGGGAGAGATGAGATGTGCTGCAAAGAACAGAAGAGAAGAAACAATTATTTTAAGACTTTGGGCACACAGGATTAAACAGTACTTTATTAAAAATAGGTAAACATAACACAGGTATGTGTGAATACTGTGAGCAACAAGAAACAACTGAACATGTTATGGTACACTGTAAGAAAGAAAAGGGAGGGAATGGGTTCAAAATCTTAAAAAAGAGAGAATACATTTTAATTTAATAGAAATCCTTAGAAAGAACTCAATAGATAAGTTTTTCATTATCTTAGATTAATCAATGTAATTGAGAGGATTTGAATCTTATTTTGGTTTTGTTGGTTTTTGTTTTGTTCGGTATAAGTAGGCAGTAGCCACTCCATACCAGTTGGGGGCGGTAGCGCACCATTTCGTTGCTTGCCAACCGCCAATAAAATCCCGTAAAGAAGAAGAAGACTAAGGAGAAGAAGAAGGTAGCTAGCTACGTACTGATGAACTAGCTAGCTAGCTTTTTTCAGAACCGAGGAGGAGTTATTGTTACATTAGTATTATGTCCCTTAACGCGGCTTCTACAAGGTACAGTAGAAACAAAGAACTGTGGATACCCGCTACATTATTTGATAGGTTGCTTTGTTTTTTTTTTACTTTGTCGCGTCAGTTTTCAGTAGTTGGGACAGTGTTAAGCTAATGCTAACATCCAGTGCTAACATCCAGTTGTCTTTGTTGCAGGGCTGTTTGCCTTTATCTTCGAGTCAATAATCAACTTAACACGAACGGTTGCATTATGCAGATTTTGCAATTCTGTTTGCATATATAGTAAATAATTAAAAATATTTTTATACTAACAGTTGTTCCTCTGAACTAGTCAGCAGCTGCTAATCAGTAGTTAAAACAGAGAGAGGCTGAATTTTGGATTAAATGAAACAAATCTAAATAATTAATCCCCCACAAAAACAACAAGAAAAAAAAGGGCTTTATTTGTTTATACACGTTTTTCTTAAACGACATATTTGGAAGTGATTGCATGCAACAACAACAATAATAATAAAAAATGTTGGTAATATCTCTTTTTTTTAACAAACAGAAATACAAAAGTCTGTAGGGCAGCTGTGGTTGTCATAGCAACTCGGGTTTTGTCATCAGTTAATGTTGATTTTTCTGAAGTGGAGCAGGAAATAATCAATTACAGAGATGCAGCATCTTTTGTCTCTTTTTTTTTTTCTTCTGGAAACTTTACAAAATAATTTTAACAAAGACTATTTACATTTTAAAGACCGACACAATATCTATGGCTTAAAGGGAAAACTAATCCGACAACATTTAAAAAAAGTAGCCCTTTATTACTCAAAACCCTAAAGTCTAGAAGGTCTTAGGATTAAATTCTGTCTGAAATTAGATATGCGAATTAAAGCAAGTGCAGCTCCCAAACTTTAAATTGGAAATTTAATTGTTTGTATTTATATGACAGAAAGGCATTGAGGACTATTTTTCAGGTGGAGCCACTGTTTTAAATGTCACCATGTCTGATTTAAAGGTGATTAAACAATATTTAGCCTTGCCAATTTTTTCCCAACATAAACACCGCAAAACACCATGAAAGCCCATTTAAAACTGTGGATGAACCCTCAGACTTTATAGATCCACATCTTGACTATAACTCAAGCAAATTTTGGACTGAATAAGTTGAAGCATGTTTGTTCCACAAAGGCTTTACTGGGAAGTGTGCTAGGTGGAAATGTGATGTGAAAAATGGTGCAAAAATGCATTTTTCCGCTCATAAAAGTGAATCTGGTCAGACAAATATGCTGATTTACATTATTGGAGACCTTCTGCATTAGACAAAGCCTTTGCTCCTAAGATTTAGCCGTTGTTTCATGTAAATATACAAATAATATAAAAAAAATGAAAAGAAAATAAGAATAACAGAGCAAGCTTATGTAACGCATGCCGGTTACATGACCTGAAATGATCACACAATGACCTTTGACCCCTCCTTGGAAAGGTCTGAGCCTCTAGTTTCAAATGATGGCGGCCATTAGGGGGCGTGGCTAAAAATGAATACCTGCTGTGGCATTACTCGCGCACGTCAGGAGGAATTTTAAACCTCCTTTTAGTTGTCTACACAGCTATAAAGCAAAAAGTATTTGTAAAGAAATAAATTTATTTTGAAACATGTTTTAGAAATGTTAAAGCGCCATTTGAAAGGCGTGTGGATGAAACACCATGTGACTGATTTGGCCATTTCTATAAATAGATTAACATGAGCGGTTGTCAGGGGTTAAAGGGGTTAAAGTTGAAAAACCTGACTTATAGGTTACCGCATGTATAAAATCTCTGCTCATTATTTGGAAGAAGGAAGAAAGGGATTTTCAATCTGTAGGACCCTTTAACCTGGTAACTAGGTGTTTTGTTATGCTGTTGTTTATGTGCTTATTGTTTGTCTCTTCTGTTTCAGGCTTTAACTTCCCCTCAGTCACATCTACATGTGGAGAAATCTTAATTTGTTGATTCATAAGACTGTCTATTTGGGCCAACAACCTTTTTCTACTCTAGTTAAGTGTCGGCAACCCAAAACATTTTGGAAAGCGTTCTTTATTTCTTCCTACACTAAACAGCTGCCCTCACCTGTTCACCTAAAAACCTTAAAGACAAAGCAGCATTCCACCTCAGCATTTAGGAAACACTATTTTCTGCAGAGACACACTCCCTGGACTTTCTTCCAGCAGTGCTACACCGAGCAGCCGGATATGTCTGAACAAAGGTTCCTAGTTGAATACGCCAAACGCGGCACCGCGGGGTGCAAGAAATGCAAGGACAAAATTCAGAAGGGCATCGTGCGCATAGGGAAAATCGTGCCAAACCCTTTCAGTGAGTCTGCAGGGGAGATGAAAGAGTGGTATCACGTGAAGTGCATATTTGAGAAGCTGGAGAGGGCGAGAGCCACGACGAAGAAGATAGAAGACCTGACGGAGCTAGAGGGCTGGGAGGAGCTGCAGGACGAGGACAAAGACCTCATTAATAAACACGTTTCAGGTACAGCAGAGACGCTCTTTAATTCAATCTGTTCATTCATGCTTAATAAAAGTTTAAACCGCTGCTTTAATTCAGTTCATTTTATTTCTATAGTGCCGATTCACAACAGATGTGATGTCAGGTCACTTTACAGTTGATTGCATCTGCTCATTGACTCTTCAGCAATCCCTCACACTAAACATGCTTGTAGCGACAGTGGAGAGGAAAAACTCCTTTTTAGCAGGAAGAAACCTCCAGCAGAACCAGGCTCAGTGTGAGCGGCCATCTGCTGAGGCCCACTGGGGTTCAAGGAGACAGAAGCAGACATAGAAAAAGCAACTTTATGTTTATTCTTTACACTTGACCCTTTTAGTAAACATAAAGTATCCTGGTTTTATTACACAACACTGAAATATTGATTAATGCTATTTAAATGTGATCAGTTGGTTCTTTTGAAAATCATCTTCTAAATGTAATTCTGTTCACCTTCTGTTTACCTTGTTTGTTTTCTGAACCTGTCGTCTTGTAGACCTGATGGCCAAAGTCAATGCAAGTCCGAAGAAGAAGGTCCAGGCCAAGCTGAACACCTCCGGTCAGCTCAAGACTCCCCCTGCTGACCCCTCCGTCAATGCTCCAAGGAAGTTTTCCGGCTTCACTGGTAAAATACGTTTGTTCTACAATGGTACAACGAAAGAGTGGCAGTTCAGCGCTGCTGTTGCCTAAAGTCATTCATGGTGGTTCCAAACTGACCAGATTATGCAGTTTAGTAGAAGTTTGATATCACTAGAAAAGTCTGAGTGTTTCTGCAAAGCATACAGAATACAAACAATGTGAGCCTAGATTTGTCACCTTGGGTTTTATTTTTTTAATTTTTTTTTAGATTTACAGAGTTTGCCATAATACACGAAGTAGAGAGGTCACTTATCAAGACAGTAAGATGTGGTTATTCTGTACGCTTTTGTAAATACATTTTCAGTGTGGGCCAAGGTCCAGACAATCTGGAATCTGGTTGCTTATCAAGGATTATGGCGGCCTGTTCCATAGCAACCAATTTCAAAAAGTCTTTGTTCCAATTCTGTACATCAAAACAGTTATAGTTCCTTTCCTTCCAATTCAACAATATTATAAGATTTCTTCCAGAAACTTGATGGATGATTAATAGGAGACACTATGAAAGGTGTGTAGTAGGAGATCTTGGAAAAACGTTTTTTGAACATACGCAACCATCCCTCTCCCTTCAGACCACCCCTCGAAACCACACTTTCAAAACACATTAACGCGCATGCTGTCTGCGCAGCTGAAGCACCTGCTGGCAGGGGGACAGACGCAGCACTGCTGATGCAGAGCGCTATGATCACTCCTCTGAAACAGTTTATTAACGTCTAAATGAACTTAAAATGCCAAATTATGGCAAAACCTGTTCGCTTTTTTTATCCTGGGGCCTGCAGTTTGGATTACGGACATGAAAACCACCTTCCAGCCGCTGCAGCACACCGCGAGGAGGCGATCGGGCCATAGGCTGCTGTTGAATGGGATTCCCAGTGACAGCGCACCGCCGGTGTACTGCACTGACGATGTTTTCAGATGGACTTTCTCACTTCAAAATAGATTCCAACTACTTTTTACCCACTGATCACAGCAAATATAGCTGCCATTGTTCCAGGCAAAGAAAGGATAGAGTAGCTCCGCCCAACCAGCCAGAGCAGCAAAGATGCTTCACCCACGCATCAGAACTAAACTTCTAGAAGCATCAAAAATGAAGCAGCACACGTGTTTCTGCTCTTTAGGTGTGAATAGGGTAACCAAAAGTCCTCTTTTTCCCGGACATGTCCTACTTCTCATACCTAAAAAACCGTTAGGATGCACGAAGCACATCAATCCAAGCACGCTTGTTTTATGTTCTCCAATCACTGTGGCGTTAACCATACATGAGGGAATATCAGATGATAATCATCCTTTTACAAGCCCCCATTAAAATGTGCAGCTACATTACGGTTAGTGTTGCGCCGATGCCATTTTTTGGCCCCGATACGATACCTGGCTGTGCAATATTGGCCGATACCGATACCATAATAATGTAAAATAATTGCCATCATGGCTTTGCCAAGCTGCTGCCTACCTTAGTGAAGCAGGAAAAAAATCTAAAACAAAGTGAATCCAGTAGAACTTTTTATTGCCTAACAGGAATGGGTGACAATATGTGAATAAACTTATGGCTCTCAAAATGGTATCGGTGCCCTATTGGTTGGTACTCGCCGATACCGAAACCACCATTTTAGGGCAGTATCGGTGCAACACTAATTACGGTACATTTATTCTGCGCCTGTACGTTTATAACTAGTTGCACTTTTTTAAAAAAAACTGCTGGCATCCCTGAGAAAGATCTGCTCTGATCCCTTAGTTCAGGACCGTCCTGGAGTCTCTTTTATTAAATGAATATAGTGCTTTAGACTCTGCTGCAAATGTATCTGAAGGATGGAAAGCAGTGGGGATGAGATATTAGCGCTCTGCCTTCCTTTTTTAGCCGCGAAGGCTGGTAGCTCAGGCAGCTCCAGCAGCCCCGGACCATCACCCTCTCCTGCCAAAACTGAGGGAGGCAGCCCCCTGTCCGCTCAGCTCTGTGACCCCCAGCACAAGGACTGCCTCTTCAGGGAGTTCCGCAAGCTCTGTGCGACGGTGGCCGAGAACAACAGCTACAACACCAAGACACAGATTATAGAGAAGTTCCTGAGGAAGGGCGCAGGAGGAGGTGGGTGGATATTTTTGGATATCTTGTAAAAGCTTATTTTTTTGTTTTTCCTGACTCTTTCTCTTCCTTGCTACTGTAGATAAGTTCCACGGGGATCTTTACCTGACCGTCAAACTGCTCCTGCCTGGTGTCGTTAAAAGTGTTTACAACCTTAACGATAAGCAGATAGTAAAACTCTTCAGTCGCATATTCAGATCCAACCAGGACGACATGGTGCGAGATCTGGATCAGGTCTGTCTACTGATATTCATCCATAAATCAGACACTTTGGTGATTTCTTCATGTTTTAGGGAAGGTTGCTGGACCATCACCCTCATCAGATCATATTAGTTTGGAGTACGGAGTCAGAAAGAGGTCAAAAATGTTTGNACCACCATTTTAGGGCAGTATCGGTGCAACACTAATTACGGTACATTTATTCTGCGCCTGTACGTTTATAACTAGTTGCACTTTTTTAAAAAAAACTGCTGGCATCCCTGAGAAAGATCTGCTCTGATCCCTTAGTTCAGGACCGTCCTGGAGTCTCTTTTATTAAATGAATATAGTGCTTTAGACTCTGCTGCAAATGTATCTGAAGGATGGAAAGCAGTGGGGATGAGATATTAGCGCTCTGCCTTCCTTTTTTAGCCGCGAAGGCTGGTAGCTCAGGCAGCTCCAGCAGCCCCGGACCATCACCCTCTCCTGCCAAAACTGAGGGAGGCAGCCCCCTGTCCGCTCAGCTCTGTGACCCCCAGCACAAGGACTGCCTCTTCAGGGAGTTCCGCAAGCTCTGTGCGACGGTGGCCGAGAACAACAGCTACAACACCAAGACACAGATTATAGAGAAGTTCCTGAGGAAGGGCGCAGGAGGAGGTGGGTGGATATTTTTGGATATCTTGTAAAAGCTTATTTTTTTGTTTTTCCTGACTCTTTCTCTTCCTTGCTACTGTAGATAAGTTCCACGGGGATCTTTACCTGACCGTCAAACTGCTCCTGCCTGGTGTCGTTAAAAGTGTTTACAACCTTAACGATAAGCAGATAGTAAAACTCTTCAGTCGCATATTCAGATCCAACCAGGACGACATGGTGCGAGATCTGGATCAGGTCTGTCTACTGATATTCATCCATAAATCAGACACTTTGGTGATTTCTTCATGTTTTAGGGAAGGTTGCTGGACCATCACCCTCATCAGATCATATTAGTTTGGAGTACGGAGTCAGAAAGAGGTCAAAAATGTTTGCAAGCTTCTAAATCTTAGTTGAAACAAAAAAAAAATAGAAGTTGATGTTTAATGTGAAATATTTACCTTATAATGTAAGGTAAACTAAAAAAAAAGCAAAGATAAAATAATAAGAATTGAATCTAAATTCCGTTTAGTATTTTAATTACACTTTTTCTTTTATTTTTTTTTTTCTTTATTGCGGTTTTAGATTTTATATATTCAGAATCAAATCCATTAATTCCAGTTATTATTATAATTTTTTTAAGTTTCAAATTCCTTTTTTTAGTTACAGAATTTTTTTTATTTTATTTTTTGACACTATCTAATCAGATTTTGACCCCAATGTGATGGGAGTGGGCGGGGAAATGAGATTGACAGCTTGTAGCAGCGCAGAAGAGATGTCCCGTTCCATGTTGCGTTTAACTATTTATCCAGTTTAAATGTCTTTAATTTAATATTCTTCACAGGAATTTTGCCAGAAAGGCAAATAAATGCTGCAGAGAATGTTTTGTTGGAGTTCCCGCAGTCCATGAATGCAACATAGAACGGACATCTCTCAAGCTGTCAGTCATGTTTCCCCGCCCACTCCCATCAGATCGGGACCAAAATCTGAATGTGAAAAAAACTGATTGGAAAGTATATTAAAAAAAATATCCTGAAACTGAAAAGGAAATGTAGAACTAAAAGAAAGAAACTGAAATAAAGGGGTTTGAAAATCTAAAACTGCAATGAAGAAAATAAATAAAAAGAGGAAAAAGTATGGAAGTAAGATGATAATTTAAATTGAGTTTTTTTCAAGCTGAGAGGAAGAATTTAGATTCTATTCTTATTTTTTTATGTTTGCTTTTTTAGTTTCTCAGATTATAAGGTCAAAAAAATTGACACATCATCTTATATTTTTTTATGTTTCAACTAATATTTATACCGGTAAGTTTACATTTTGACCTCTTTCTGACTCCATATTGGAGCACCTTAAATGGAAATAAATAAAAAAGCAAAGCTTAATAAACTAGGAAGCATCTGTCAGCGCAGACCTCTGCCAAGCAGCAAATTTTTTCCCAAACTATAGATAAAATATGCACATTATCTGGATTATTACAGACTTTTAAAAGAAACATCCGGTCAGCAAGGAATAATCGATGGATATAACCTTATTTATATATTATCATAATATTCAGCTTTATTTTAAACTGGTTTTTAAAATGTGTTCCAGTGTAGGCTTTAATTTTTTTGTCCGTTTAATTTTTTCTTTTTTTTTTTCAAGTAGAAGAAGAAGCAAATCCAGTCTCCATCTCTTTTCTAACCAGCTAGATGTGGAAATGAGGATGTTTTAACTTTTGTTAAAATGTGAGAGAAGATGAAGCTTATTGTTATCATGCATCATAGCCTTTCTAATAAACAAACAAAATCAGCTGTTTGGATAAAAATGGCCGCTCACACTGAGCCTCGTTCTGCTGGAGGTTTCTTCCTGTTAAAAGGGAGTTTTTTCTCTCCACTGTCGCTACAAACAGAGGTGTCAAGTAATGAAGTACAAATACTTTGTTACTGTACTTAAGTAAACTTTTTAGGTATCTATACTTTACTCCATTACTTATTTTTCTTCCTACTTCTGACTTCTACTCATTGCATCTTTAAACAAGTATCTCTACTTTCTATTCTTTACATTTTTAAATCAAACGTTACTTGTTACTCTTGGCTTCGGTTTAATGTTTCTAAAT